CCTTTTGAGGTAGGAAGGTGAATGAAGAAAACCGGCCTTCAGATATGGAGCATCCTTCCAAGAGTTTCTCTTAGAAGAACCCAGCAGAAATGAGAATCACCTGAGCATGTGCAATTCTATTTCCTCTTTCCTTATATAATCAAGGATTCAAAGAAGATTCTCAGCTCCAAGCTATCATTTTCAGCCTCTGAAATTTGAAACTGCATAAGAATGATCAAGTAAAGGCCTAAAAAAAGGGAAAGACAGACCAGCACTTGAGCTAAGAACTCATTATGAATAAAAGAACTGCCAAGCCATTAGTCCTTTGCAGGGAGTCTAATAAATGGATCCCAGGGCAGCAGGAAGATTAAATCAGCTTAAACCTAAAAATAAAGCATGCAGATGTTGATATTGCTCTTACTCCAGCAGGGAATCATGTTTTTTTTTTCTTTTTAACTCATGAAATGCCACACATTTGTAATATGTGATGAAAGTAACAGAGATTACAATTCTGCATATGTTCAGTGGTATTTTAACAGGACAGCTTGTTTGCAAAGCTACTGAGAAATAAAATTCATACTTTCAGAATTTGTATATGATTGGAAGTTAAGAAGAATTGGAGATTTTCTTCTTGCACACTGAATGATATATTCCAAGGATGAACAAATCAGAAGCTCAGCATGACTGAATCTTGCTCCTAGGATCCTTTGTGAAGTGTCAGGCTAACAAAGCCTTGTACAAGCACAGCAGAGTCATGTTATCATTTCTCTGAGCAAAAATTAAAAAGAAAGACTTTCTAGCCAGCTCAGACTCTTTATAGAGAGACTCTAGCCAGCTCCCAACTGTAAGAGAAAAAATTCCACTGACTTTAATACAGAACATATATAGCATTATTTTAAAATCAGATAACACAGCTGTAGCTAGGCAATGCCTCTGGAAGATATTACTAGCACTGTGATTCCAAAGCAACATTATGAGGATGAAATCCTGATACAAATGAAAGTACCCAGATTAGGAAAGAATTGAACCTCTTTTATTTGACATCAAAAATTGGTGTTGAGAGAGAGGCAGGTTCTAATTACTCCACTTATTGATCCACTTTAATAGTAATGGACAGACTACACCATGTGAATTTGTCTAACCCTATTTGTAAAATACCTATAGGGCTCTCTTCTTGCTGAGTAAGTCCTGGTTTCCATTGACTTGTGATAAACTGGAGATATTATGGGCCATTGGCTAAGGGGGAGGAGTAGAAATTCTGAGCTAAAACCTGCAATTGGGCTGGACTGTATTATACTCCCTTGCATTAGAAAAGAACTCTGATGGAGAAGAGATCAAACTGAATACAGCTCTCCTAACAGTTCTTGCCTTCCTATGTTAGATTTATACTTGCGATCATTATACAGTATACCAGTAGCTGCTTTTTTAAAAAAAAAACTAATGGGAATGTTCAAACATAAACATTAACACTTGCAGTTTGAGATTAATACTACCTTATGTGCCTCCATCGGTTGTTGTTATTTCATTTTGCAGAATGTACTAGAAGAAATAGTCCACACAGTTTGGAACAAGTCAAATGCTAGTTGAATAAAGGCAATCATCTTTTTATATGTCCTGATTCTATATACTATCTCATACTGGAAATAAATGTAAAAACTGAACTTGGATAAAAGTAAAATTGTTTAAATTGCATTGACTCCTCTGGTTATCACCTCCTTACATCTCTCCTAACCAGAAAAGAAAGGATGGCTTCAGTCAAGAGAGGACAAGAAGATTGGTGTGGAGTTTTCAAGAGGGTGGGAAATCAAATCTCCCAAAAGCTCCAAGCAACTCTCTGGAAGCTTTGAAAGCTAAGCTGGCAAGGGCAGGTGGTTGCACAGCTGTGCCATTTGGATCATGCGTTCCCATCAATATTCATGAGGCAGCCTGGCCAATCAGCAGAGTAGCTGTCATTAGTGAGCATCTGGCTAGTGAGAAGAGGCTTGTTCTCTTTTGAGTTTTTCTTTAAAGTGAACTTCTTTTGACATTTTGAGAATGTTCCTCCATAGGTTTCAAAGTCCTCTTCCCGTGCCCTCCACCTGTGTGCTTGGCTTAGTCCCTTATGCAACAGAGGTCCAAAATGCCCCCCGAAATGTAGAACTACAATCTGAGGAGGTTGACAACCAGAATCACATTCTGATACTTTCAAAACGTATTGAGTTCCAAATTCCAGTATTGTTTTGTACATATCCTTCTAACACAATACCCCACAAGATACAGCAGTATATTGGGACTATGTTTCCCTAAATTCCCAGCTAGTATGCTGGTTAGAAATTTCATAGTTCGTAGTCCAGCACCTTGAGAAAACAGATTTAGAAAGCTTTCCCATTTTGAATCTCTATACTCCATTGGTCCCATAATCAAGCAAAACTGTCCAAGAATCTTATCTGGTGCAAGTTCCAAACACAAAATAAGTCTGCATACTCCGCTTTGGCCCATATGCTATCCTCATCTATATCAAAATCTACTATTCCATAAGCAATGGGAAAGTCCATTGTAGGAAACTTACATTTTGTAAGGCAGAAGTGGGTGACCTCCTACAAAGTTCTTATGTAACAATTAAGTGATAATTGTTACCTAAGTATTCCCTGCTAGAAACACCTATCTTCCCTTAGTAGTGATGAAGCAGGAAGATATCCATTTTTTTTTATTTCTCCAATTAACGGTTGCTTTAATTTTGACCATCACAGAATTTCCAACAAATTATCTTTGAGGTAACTAAGTCATCTGAGGAGAAAAATATTGCCTTAGTATCAGGGCCAGCTCAAAGGAATATGGCATCCCTCAATCACATTGACTGAAGGTGCCACCTCTAGCAAATGCAAAGATTTGCATTTTTAGAATAGGAAGGAGATATGGTATTGCCTATTGGGTCTTAGCTATTTCAAGTCAATCTATTGTAGCACAAGAACTCATTTGTGTGTGAATGTGGGTGTGTCTGTCTAAAACAATCCTTGATGAAACTAATAGTGTATTTTGTTTGTCTTCAGGAAAGAAAGGTGCCATGTTTACAGATAATACAAGACTTACATTCTCTGATAACAGATGTGATTGAAAACAAAGAATTAGCCCTAAATGCATCCATTAGATAGGATAACACATGCCTGTTTTTGATGTTTAGCCTAAAGATTACTTGAGGCTTGAAAAGGGCTATTTGTGTGGTGAATTTAATCCTGCCTGAAAAGGGAGCTTTTCTATTTTCTTTCAGTTGGTTATGATTCTTCAAACTCATCTAGTTTTTTGCTTCACTTTTTTTTCTTTTCTTCATAACATATCCTTTTTTTCCTCTTATATCAGCAACATCTTTTTTCCCCAGGTTTTCCATATTTTGCTAGAAGAAAGGCACATAAGGGTGTACATATGCAACTATATGTTTCTCTATGCGAGAATAGTTGAAATGTGGGATCTGTTATTTATTTGTATCCCTTTATTTTTACAAATAAGTCAAAGCAGCAAACATATCCAACACACCCTTCCTCCTCCCATTTTCCTCACAACAACCCTCTGAAGTGAGTTGGGCTGAGACAGTCTAACTGACCCAGTCACCCAGCTGACTTTCTGCCTAAGTTCAACTAGATCTTATGGTTCCCTCCCCCCCCCCCGTTTCTTTTTGCCTGAATCACTAGACCGAATGCTGAAACAGGAGTGCGCATGCACACGGAGAGAAGCACAGGAAACCAGAAGAGCAGCTCCCTGGCATGCATGTGTGGGAGCACAAGAAACCGGAAGAGCAGTTCACCGGCACACGTGTGCGCACCAGGAAGCTGAGTTTCCGATTTGCGGCGTGCACATGGACACCGGTCACCTGGTCTTCTGGTTTCTGGCACCCATGAACACGCAAAGACCAACTAGGACCCTGGAAGAGGAACAGGCGACGGCTGGCGTGCCCGGAAAGATGGCTCTGCGTGCCACTTCCAGCACGTGTGCCATAGGTTCGCCATCACGGCACTAGACCAAACTGGCTATCAGTTAATTGTATTAATATGGTAACTTATCTTACAGTTAATTTTAATTAGTAATTATGGTAACATTCCTTGTCCTGACCATGCCATTTTATAAGAGTGGGGCTTTTGGCAATATACTGTATATATGAGAGTGTAACATGCATATATTTACGGGCAGCAGAGAATCTGAATCTGAAATATTGATTCCAAATGAATTTGACAACTCTTGGCTGACAAGATGAACTTGGATCAAGTTTGGTGTGAGAAAGAAGCATAGCTGGTTTGCGAACAGGGTATGTTCTTTTAAAAAATAAATTCAGGGATTTCTTATAAGCATAACGCACTTATCATAGGATTGGCATGTTGTAATTTTATGACAGTACGTTATGGATACAACTGCGGAAACTGCTGCTGAATATTACCATTTTACAACCTGTTGCAGTTTTCTTGATGATCTACATACTGAGAAACATCAACTAAAGGCAATTCTAGTATGGGTTTACTTTATTCTTACTCTACAAACTGTAATATCATGAAAGAAAAGGTGATTCATTTTCTCCCCAGGTCCTCATCACAAACATTGAAGAAGCTTGAGTAAATCCTCCAATGACGGGAACAGCAGTGAAATCAATGCTTTGATTAAATATATGTTTATACAGGGTCCTATAAAGGTTCCATTGGGGAAAGAAATATGTATTAAGTCAATTTTGAGTCAAGATTTAATATTTCCGGATATTCATTTTGAACCATATTCTTATGCATATAAAGAAAGTAGATTCTCTGTTTATATTAAAAGATTTCAGCATTGGAAAAATAAATATATGGTCCCAACAATTTAGAAGTCTACAGGATTAATATTTTACAAGCAAATCACTTACTGATTTGCAAGCAGTTTAGATATAAGCTATATCTAAGAGTTTATATTTAAACTATGGATAATTATAAAATATGGCAACCATTCAGTGAAATGGTTTGTGTGGGTTTATGCATACATGTATGTGTACTGTATATTTCACACATACATAAAAACAGGCCATTTTTTAAATTTTTTATTTTATTTATTTGTTTTACTTAGTTTTTCCTAGAGCTTTAAGTATTGTTCCTTTGTGTGTTCTGTAATAAAAGTAAAATTCAAATTAAAAATGACAATCACAAGGTAGAGTGGGAAGAGAAGAATAGACAATGTACTAGTTCTTTTTAAGTAATAATTGTTCTGCTGTCATGTACATTTGTTAAGATTGTCATCACAAGAGAAGGGAACACAAAGAAGACAAAAAAACCCCTTCAAGTACTTTAGTTAAACAAACAAACAAAACAAAAAAAAGCCGCTGCCCTTAGGATAAATATTTACTTGTGGCAAAAATTGCCGTATTCCTGTTTCTCTGCCCAGTTTAAAAGACAAAAACTGGGTGAGAGATAACATAGGCCTGATATTTAGCATCTATTGTGTAGTGTGTGGAAATGCAGGGGGAAGGGAAGAAAAAGGAAAGGACTGAAACATCTCAAGCAGGCTCTTGCAGACTCTTCCAGGCTCTTCAAAGTCCATTGATTTCAATTCTGTTATTTTGCTCAAAGATCAAACAAGTCAAGTAAGAAATCTGCAAACTAAAATATCTAGACTTACAGAATTGCTGTTTTGCTGCTGCTATAACAATGATACTAATAAGAGGACTTAAAGGCAGACAAGTACAATTCTTATTTAGTATATTAGATAGGGTTTATTACTGTCTCCTTGTCAAATTGTGCTGTGTCAAAGCAATGAAATATAGCAAGAATGACTCTTCCCAGGATGTGCATCTAACAACTAAGAAGAATACAGACTATCATTCCTCATTTATCTTGTATATTTATAACATGCTCCTCTTAGCAGCACCAGCAATAATGAATTGGGGAGGGAGTCTGGCCATTTGTCCCAGCTGTGTATATCTACCAAAGAACCCAGATGTGGATTTGGCATTCATGGCAAGCAAGTGGACCTTCTGGCACCATCTTAAAAAGAAGTTGTACTACAGGCAAATAGTTTTGATACACCTACAAAAGACAGCTGGGGTTTTGCAACAAGCATTATCAGTTATAGATATGGAAGATGAGGGAAGAAAACATAGTCAACAAGCTAGAGCACTTTCCTATACAGGATAATTTGTCAAAATATACAAAAAGTTGAGGAAGACTTGAGGATGGATCAAGATGGAAGAACAGAAAAAAGCACACTGGAAAACTACTTCTGCATTCATAAGCTTCCATTCTAATTGTTCAAACATTTCACTGGTCCAGGCTTGTTCACACCCAAGCCACTAGGAATACTCCAAACACTTCCGCCTGGAGTTCTAATAATCCAAATAATTTTAAACAAAGTGGCAAAAGTTTATGCTGAGCTCCAAAGCACATCCTGAATGGGCTTTTTTATTCTCGCTAATTGTTGTTGTGGTGACTTGATGCTGTGGAACCAGCCTGTAGCAGTCCTGTTGGTTCATGGCCATCTTCCTCAGAACACGGACTCTCCAATTTGTTGCCATCTATGCTGACATCACTCCAATGAGAGAGTGCTTCTACGGAGCTTTGGACAAATTGGCTTTCTTCATCAAAACTTGAGCACATACCAGGAGAGTTGAGAGCAATAGAGAAAGAAAGAGATATTTAATTTAAAGCTGCTGATTCATTCCCAGAATTCTACTGTTCAGAGTTTCATGGTCTAGAACCATGACCAGAGGTCTATGAGCTTTTTCTGATGTCCAAGTGTTATGCCCCAGTTTCTGAGATGGCACCAATATCAATGCCAGAATAATGTGCCATATAATGATCTATATTTTCTTCTGCAATAGCACTATACCTGCTCAGTTCCAGGGGAATACTGGAAGAGATCAGGTTGGTAAGAACTGCTTAAATCAGAACATAACTAACAGTAGTGTACAGATCTAATAGGAAAGTTGACATAACCACAACAACCTAAGTGGCCAATAGGTTTCAAGCTAGAGATTCCCTGGCTGTGTCACAGAATGATTAATAAAGCACATTAGATTGTATCCATGGCAAAACATCTATCAGGATAAGGGGGAAAGTACTAATTTAACAATGATATAGTTAATGACAACAGGTATGGGCTGGGGAATCAGATGAAGGTAACATCTTGAGGAGATAGAAAAGGATGTTGTCCGAAGTTTGCTTAGCACATTGTAAGCCGCTTAGCACATTGCTTAGCACATTGTAAGCCGCCCTGAGTCTCCGGAGAAGGGCGGCATATAAATCAAATTAAATAAAAAATAAAAATAAATAAAAAGTTTGTTGTTTGTGCTATAATTTGATGCAACTACTGAAATGTCTGGACGGTAAACACATATCTAAAACTGTCTTCACCATGCATAACTAACTCAGTTTCTTACAGAAACAAACTACCACATTTAACAGATATATATATAAGAATCCCTTAAAAGATAATAGATGCTAGGATACTAGACAATGTGACAAAACCATTTTAACATCTGCTACTCCAAATTCTACATGCAAATAAAACTTGGGACATGGAATAAAAAAGAATGATGATATATTTTTCCTTATGGACTGGATACAAATCATAATCAAATCTGAATGTATTTGGAAATTCCATTAAAATTCCATAGAATCAAAGAAGAAAATGCTGCCATAAATTATGGTACAAAAAAGTGAGAAATTGGGAGCTTTTTCTGCTAAAAAAAAAATCACATATTTGCCCAAATAATACCTGACTGTCATAACTGTTTAATCAAAAGTTCTAGAAGTGATTCTTCATTAAGAAGGAAACAACCAGTGTGAGAGAAAGACAGACAGACACGGCAGACATGACAAACAGAAAGTGAACAGATAAACAACGAATTTCCAGCCGAGTAGTGATCTCCCACTTCCATTTCCTATTAGGTGGGTTAAGAGAAAGAGGAGATTAGCTGTTGGATTCAGCACCAAATGTCTGTGGTTAATCCTTTTGGCTCTACATTCACATTTATTGCTGTGTTTTGAGCCCTAGCATACATGCACACTCCAAAGCTCAGATTGTACATGCAATCATACTCCAAGCACATACTTCCCCATCTCATTCATACCTATGCCCCTGTCATTTCCATGCAACTGACATTATTACAGAGAAGTTAAAGTCCCATATCTAAGTGTCCCCTCCAGAACTGATTTTGGAATCTGGAAAGCTTTATTTCTACAGCTCTAGCACAATCTGTATCAGAGATCTTGCAAACAAGGACTGATAAGAAGAGAGGGAAGCCATGGGCAAGCATAGAAGACAGGAAGTACAAAATATCCTGGAAAAGAAATTGTGATTACTGTCTTCTGGACCATTACATCCATTCCACTCACCTGTTGCCAAAGTCATGCACAGCCAGCAAAGCTGAATGACTGTCCTCTTGGATCCAACCACAGTTGGACCTGGCATAGTGGAGAATGGCATCAGTGACACTCATAGGGCCTCGACCCTGCACATAAGCTTCAATTTCCGGTACAGAGAGCTGGCTTTGTAGGAAAAGGTGCAGCTGACTATCTGAAAGGAGTACAACGTTCTGTACTGTCCTAGAATATGAATAGAAAAATTGGAAATTCTAAGCACAAACGCTACAACAATCAGACCTTAAGAAACAACACTTTTTACTTAAGGTCTTAATACCTTTCCTGCTGAAGCACAACTGAGGTTCTTATAGACAGAGTAACTCTCAAGGTCAGAAGTGAGAATCTACAGTAGAAGAAACACCCCCACCCCCACCTTTCTTTTTTAAATAATCTGCTGGCAGCCTTGGCCAGCCTTTGTTCATTTCCACTGCAATGTTTCCATTGAGAGGGGGAAAGAATGTGCCAACTATAGTGCTACATATAATTCTTCCTGTACTGAAGGAAAGGAAAGAAGTTTTTGTAGCAAATCTATGGCTTTCTCCATCCACGCTGGCATGCTTTTCTCACCATTGTTAGAGTCCTAATAGTAGAGCTGCTGTGGCATCAAAGCTTTCTGCCACTGTAATGGGAATACTGTCAATTATTGATTTGTTCCAACAGCTGCAGAAGGGGAGATCAATATCACTCCTAGGAGATTCCTAAGAAATTTGCCAGGACCATTGAACTATATTTGAGATCTGTCTTTTTTGACAGGCTTTGGGTTTTCCAAGATTTTCTACCTATATGTCAACTTTTTCTTGTCATATTTTTTATTTTGCTCTTTTTTAAAAAAAAACAACCAAGCTATAAATTTGGTTGTTCACATAAATTGAAACTATCTTGATTATGTTATCGTTCCGCCACCATTATAAACTTGATGATAAATTCTAATCGGGTGGGATCCAGAAAACCTTCTATCTCCAATAATAATCCTGTTCCCCAGTTTTCACTCACTTCTCCAAGAACTGTTGCAATCCTTGTCTTCGTTTCTCAATGAATTCATCAGTGTTGCCTGCGAAGAAAGTAGATTTCCCTGGAAGTTCTGGCACAGGCCTAGAGGATATGAGGGACAGGTTTACATACATATAAAAATATATCTCTCCTTGAGGATGCATCCACAATAAAAAGTAATTAGCAATCTTCTGCTACTCCATGAGCTTGTTCTTCACTAAAATAGGTGTTACCATTCTATTAAAAGCCTATTTCCATCAAGGTTTGGAGCCTACAGTGAAGCTAATTTAATTCCGCAGCAATGCTGATGAAGACGAATGTATCTTCTCCACTGCAAAAATTCAAATCCTCTGCAAGCTCAAGCAGTACCTTCAAACAGTATTGTGCTATATCCATATGATGGACTTATGAAAAAGTTTCTGGTGATGGTTCCAAGATGATAGGTCAAGGTTAGGGATCTTCTCCCCTGAAAGTTTATAAATTGCATTTTGCAATAAAATCAACAAGCTCATTAAGCTTTCTTGGAAATGCATAAAATGAAAAGTAAAATCCAAAATATAAAACCATCATTATCTTTTGGATTGCCAATAGTCCTCCATGAAAGACCTCAATTTACTAAATTTTCACCTCAGAAATTGACTCTACGTCTGTCTATATGCAGATCATGTACTCTGACAATGAGCTACAGCTCTTTGCTAAGGTCTATTCAGTTTTAATACAAAGTTATATATGTATTCAAGCATATTTTCAACATTGACATTTCTAAGGTAAGTTTAAAAGTGTCAGCGTTAGCACTAGTGCAAAAAATTATATTCGTTTTATCATTGAAATATTTTCAAATGATGTGCAAATGTCCTTTGATGGTTTAGACCAGGGGTCAGCAACCTGTGGCTCTGGAGCCGCATGTGGCTCTTTCATCCCTCTGCTGCGGCTCCCTGTCGCTCAAAATATGTGTCACAACCACCAATGTGTGATACCCGCCTGGCACATGATTTATTGAGCTCTTCAACCCCCGGTAGGCCAACCACGGATAAATCCAAGAAAAGAAAAGTTTCAGAAGAAGACAGAATGTTTAATTCCAACTACATTTGCTAGTTTTGTGGCTGCTCAAGAAATAGTCAGGCACGGGAAGGGTTTTGTGGCTCCCGGTGTTTTCTGTGGGAAATGGGTCCAAATGGCTCTTTGTGTGTTTAAGATTGCAGACCCCTGGTTTAGGCCACTATTAAAAAAACACAATCTCACACTTACACCAAGCCAGCATTTTTTTGGAGCTGTTTCTTTAACCACACAAACTCACGATATCGTCTGCGCACACAAGATGTCTTGGCTGTGAAAGCTTTACTATTAGTCTGTAGAATAAGAAGAAAGATTGTTGTTGATACAAGCCTGTTTTTTTTTTTCTCTCCAAATCCTTTTCTATACTGTCTCCCTCTGCTGGCTGCTGTGTTAATAGAGAATTGCTATGATAAACATCTTTTATCATAGCATGTTTTGGTTTTAAGAGTGAATTTTGATTAAAAGTCTTTTTTTTAAAAAAAAATCATTTGATTTTCCTTTTTTAATTGATTTTTATTGAAGATTTTTATGCAGCAATAAAAGGAATACAAATTTAAGAAAAACGAGTAAAGAAAACTGGTGAATAAAGAAAAAGAAAAAAGTATAAAAGTAGCTTTCAGTTTTGTTTATATCAGTTACAAATACATGCATTGCCTGTCTTCCTCTTTAAAGTTACATAATGATTCTCTTCTTGTCATGTTTTACTCTATTTAATTTGATTTTCAAAGAGTTTCATACTGTGCAATGTAAGAAGTGGGGAAACAATAGATTAAAGTTGGTTGCAATTTCTAGTAATAATTCAAGGAAAGGTCCATGAAACCAAAGTTCTGTCTATTCCAGTCAGTCAGACGCTGTAGGGAAGTTCACAACTGGAACATAACAATACAGATAGTCCTTGACTTAAAACCATTCATTTATTGACCATTCAAAGTTACAATGGCACTGAAAATAGTGACTTATTACTATTTTTCACACTTATGACATAACCATGATCATGCAATCAAAATTCAGATGCTTGGCAAGTGGCATGTATTTATGATGGCTGCAATGTTGCTGGTTCATGAGATCACCTTTTATAACCTTCTGACAAGCGAAGTCAAGGGGGAAGCAAGATTCATTTAACAACCGTATTACTAACTTAAAAACTGCAATGATTCACTTAACAACTGTGACAGGAAAGGTCATAAAATGCGGCAAAACTTACTTAACAACTTGTCTTGCTTAGCAACAGAAATTTTGGGCTCAATTGTGGTCGAAAATCCAGGAGTACCTGTATCGTCTCCCATTCTTCTTTAACTGCATGAGGGACTAATAGTCCAATCCCTGTTTCTACCCCTAAGGCTAGCCAGCTTCTCTGTCCACACTGAAACTAAGCATATTGACTTCTCTTCCTTTAAAGCTCATTCAGAAGACAATGGGGTAGTCTGCATCAAGCCCCATTCCCTGTTTCATGGTTCCTAGTTAGCCATTAAATAACAACAGCAATAGTACTTAGATTTATATACCACTTCACAGCGCTTTACAGCACTCTCTTAGCATTTACAGGGTCAACATATTGCCCCCAAAAATCTGGGTCCTCATTTTACCTTTACTGACCTCAGAAGGATGGAAGGCTGAGTCAATTTTAAATCAGTCAGAATTGAAGGAATTGAACTTCTGGCAACGTAAGCAGAGTTAGCCTGCAATAATGTATTCACACATCCAATACAATACTGTATTGGATGCGTGAACCACCATGGCTCAGTGGTTCACGCACCCAAAAAATGCCAGAAAATATCAGTTTTATGATTTTCAGGGGGAACCAAGGAAAATAGTTGCAGTATACCTCAAGTAGGCATAGCAGTATACCTCAAGTAGGCATTTCCCTACCAAATGGGTGGAAAAAGAAATGGGTCAAAAATGACTGTCTCCCCGGCCTCAGCAATGTTAAGATGTGGGAACTTCAACTCCCAGAATTCTTTCTCTTCTGGGAGCTGAACGCCACACATTTTAAAAGTTGCTCTAAAGAGAAGCAATTTTCCCATGCGTGTAAAGTACAACAGTTTGCAGAAAGAAAGAATAATGGGGAGTTCCCACTGTTTTTTTGCTACTTCTGCAGTTAAGTAAGTCACAGGTAATAGGATGACTTTTCCACAGAAGTAAAAAATCAAGCACAAGTTTTTTCCCTATATCAATAGCAGCTGTTTGTTTCATATCTGGTGCTCTGCAAAGCATGCAAGAAAATATTTTTTCATCAAAGAGAGACGTAACCTAGAACTAAGGAGAAATTTCCTAACAATGAGAACAATTAACAAGCTTCCCTTCAAAAGTTGTGAGACTTTCATCCCTGCAGGTTTTTTAGATAGATACAGTGGTGGGATTCATCTGGTTAGCACCGATTCGGTACAACCGATAGTTAATTTTTTGCTGAGTTTGGTGAACCGGTTAGACGTGTTCCAGAAAATCTGTGTTTTCCAGGACACGTCTGGTTTTCGTTCAACTTCCTTCTAGGTGAGGGGAAAAAAAACCCTCCCCAAAAGTCCAAGAGAGGAGCGGCGGAAACCTTCAATCACATTACTCAGTCGAAAACTGTTTCAGGCAGTGAGGGCAGGGCCTGCACATAAGGCGGCAGCCCAGGGCCAAAACGCCAGCAGAGCATCAGTGGGTCGGGGAGGGTGCTGAAGTGAGCAGGCATCCTGCCTGCAGCGCCCATGCCAGCTGCCCCTTCCCAGCCAGAGCTGGAATGCCGCTGTGTTTAAGTGCCAGTAGATGCCAGCCTTTCCTCCAGTGGGCCTGGGCACTGCTGGAGATGGGCCCATTTCAGCACCCAGAGGCCCTCACTTTCCCCAAGCATTTCTTTGCCTACCTGATTTCCAGGTCCGTTGCATTTCTCCATCGCATTTCTCGCTGTTGCATGCAGGAAACAAACGTTTGTGGGAGTAAAAAAAAAAAAATCAATCAATTCCAACTTCTTGTGGAAAAAAAAAGATCTCGTGAAGTTGGAATTGATTGATTGAACTTTTTTTTAGTTCCACAAACTTGTTTCCCTGCACAAGACGGCAAGAAACGTGATGGAGAAATGCAACGGACCTGGAAATCAGATAGGCAAAGAAATGCTTGGGGGAAACGAGGGCATCTGGGTGGTGGTGGGTGGGGCAAGCTCTACAGCGCAACACTGCAATGGAGAAACAGGAAATGGAGCAGCCAGCCAAGGGAAGGAGGATGCCACTTTCCCTCTTTCTTTTCCCTGCTCTTCCTTCTCTTGTGCCAGCCGCTCCATTGCCCGTTTCTCCATTGCAGCGTAGCACCATGATCCACTTCGATAGTGGGGTGGGATGGGGGGGTGTAATTTAACAACTGGTTTGCCCAGGGTCAAGTTGGCCATTGCTGGAGGCTCGTCCCATGTGTGGTGGAGCTGGAGGATGGGGATGGACCACGCCTCCCACAACAGCCAACCTGACCCTGGGCGAACCAGTTGTTAAATTATTTGAATCACACCACTGGATAGCTACTTGTGTGGATTGCTACAGGGTCTCCTGCTTGTGCAGATGGTTGGACTAGAAGACCTCAAAAGGTCTCTGCCTACTATGTTAATCTGTTCTGTTACTTACTGCTGTTTTTTTTCCAGTGTTTCTATACTTACATGGAGAAATATTTTGTAATCCACATAAGAATTCCATGAGCCCTCATTTTGTATGCGAGGATCTTGGACACGCACAGTAGTCAGCTCCTGGGTTCAGACCCAGAGGGAAAAAATACATCTTTAGAGTCCACTTAATTTGTAACACTTCTCTAAATGTTAGGGCCTAAATCAGAGAGATTTCCCCCTTTTTCAGCCAAAAGAATTAAATGCATAAACAGAAGTTCATTATGATTGTACAAAAGCTTTACTATATTAAGATCAAAAGGCTGTAAAAAGACTCAGGCAGATTTCTCAAGCATTGGAAAAAAGAAATAAATATACGAAGTTTAATAACTATTTGATAAACACGATTATGCTTTTCAAATAGTTATTATGGGGAATCTATGACTTTCTAGATGTCATTAGGACTCCAAACCCATCCTAACCCAGCCAGAAAGGCCAATGATCAGAGAGAAGAATATTTACAGGGCCACACCTAGCCTAATTAAACTTATGCAAGCTAAACACAGCTAAACTCAACAGGACTTGATCTATTGCCTCAGGGATAAAACAGAGAAATAATGCAGTGTTCAGCCCAGCCATTACCAAACTTGTACGCTTCAGAACAAAATGCTTAGCCACCTTCTGAAAGTTGCACATATAAAGGATGAGTGGATAAGGAAAGCTTGGCTAACGTACACAAAGCATAATTTGTTCAACTATATTTATTTTGAATATTCAAAACTTAGGGTGAAGTTGAGCTGTGGGCAATCGTTGTGTGAGAATGAATCGTTGTGAGAGAAATCGTTGTGTAAGTTTCTGTCCTCGTGTCTGTGGTAAAAAGACAGCCAGAGAGATATAAATACATACTATGAGGATGGCATTCAGGCTAAACAACATGTCTTATTCAAAATATCTCACCATGGTCTCATGTATATTTAGGTACTTTTTCTCCAGGGGCATTTGCATGATTCAGCTTTCTGCCACCATATAAATCACTGCACATACAGTCAGGTCCAGAAATATTGGGACATCAACACAATTCTAACATCTTTGGCTCTATACACCACCACAATGGAATTGGAATGAATCAAACACAATGTGCGTTAACTGCAGACTGTCAGCTTTAATTTGAGGGTATGTACATCCAACTCAGGTGAACGGTGTAGGACTTACAGCAGTTTGTATATGTGCCTCCCACTTGTTAAGGGACCAAAAGTAATGGGACAATTGGCTTCTCAGCTGTTCCATGGCCATGTGTGTGATATTCCCTCATTACCCCAATTACAATGTGCATATAAAAGGCCCAGAATTCATTTCAAGTGTGCTATTTGCATTTGGAATCTGTTGCTGTCAATTCTCAAGATAAGATCCAAAGAGCTGTCACTATCAGTGAAGCAAGCCATCATTAGGCTGAAGAAACAAAACAAACCCATCAGAGAGATAGCAAGAACATTAGGCGTGGCCAAAACAACTGTTTGAAACATTCTCAAAAAGAAGGAATGCACCGGTGAACTCAGCAACACCAAAAGAACCAGGAGACCACGGAAAACAAGTGTGGTGGATGACCGAAGAATTCTTTCCCTGGTGAAGAAAACACCCTTCACAACAGTTGGCCAGATCAAGAACACTCTCCAGGAGGTAGGTGTATGTGTGTCAAAGTCAACAATCAAGAGAAGACTTCACCAGAGTGAATACAGAGGGTTCACCACAAGATGTAAACCATTGGTGAGCCTCAAAAACAGGAAGGCCAGATTAGAGTTTGCCAAACAACATCTAACAAAGCCTTCACAGTTCTGGAACAAGATCCTATGGACAGATGAGACCAAGATCAACTTGTACCAGAGTGATGAGAAGAGAAGAATATGGAGAAGGAAAGGAACTGCTCATGATCCTAAGCATACCACCTCATCAGTGAAGCATGGTGGTGGCAGTGTTATGGCGTGGGCATGTATGGCTGCCAATGGAACTGGTTCTCTTGTATTTATTGATGATGTGACTGCTGACAAAAGCAGCAAGATGAATTCTGAAGTGTTTCGGGCAATATTATCTGCTCACATTCAGCCAAATGCTGCAGAACTCATTGGACAGCGCTTCACAGCGCAGATGGACAATGACCCAAAGCATACTGCAAAAGCAACCAAAGAGTTTTTGAAGGGACAGAAGTGGAATATTATGCAATGGCCAAGTCAATCACCTGACCTGAATCCCATTGAGCATGCATTTTACTTGCTGAAGACAAAACTGAAGGGAAAATGCCCCAAGAACAAGCAGGAACTGAAGACAGTTGCAGTAGAGGCCTGGCAGAGCATCACCAGGGATGAAACCCAGTGTCTGGTGGTGTCTATGCATTCCAGACTTCAGGCTGTGATTGACTGCAAAGGATTTGCAACCAAGTATTAAGAAGGGAAAGTTTGATTTATGATTATTATTCTGTCCCATTACTTTTGGTCCCTTAACAAGTGGGAGGCACATATGCAAACTGCTGTAAGTCCTACACCGTTCACCTGAGTTGGATGTACATACCCTTAAATTAAAGCTGACAGTCTGCAGTTAAAGCACATTGTGTTTGTTTCATTCCAACTCCATTGTGGTGGTGTATAGAGCCAAAGATGTTAGAACTGTGTTGATGTCCCAATATTTCTGGACCTGACTGTATATGTAGGTGTAGGTGGGAGGAGCTTTTATAGATTCTGACTTAAGCTATAGATCCTGAAACTTTTCTATGGGTCTGCACAGAAGTTTTCATATTTCAAATTACTTGCTTTAAGCATGACTATAAAGTAGGAAACAATGCTTGGAAATAAAGTGTCCTCACATTTTGGAGCAACTTTTGCCAATATTGCTTTAGCCTCTATCTATCTTTCACCATATTCAATCAAACCTGGAGGCTTTAAAAACTATCTTCCTTTTTGGAGACTGACTGCAGATATTTTCAGAATGGGTGAAATAGAAAATAGCTCATATGGTCATGTCTGCTAATACCAATAGTCTTACCTCTTGTTCTTGATATTCCAACATATTACTATCACAATTTAAGAAAGAAACATCTGTGGCGGGGGGGAGAGAGAAAGGGCATACAATTAATACCAGAGCATGAATTACCCATGAACTATCTGCATTTCATCCACCTATTTATTAAATAAAATCAGATCCTGCTCTGGAGATGGAGTAATGGAGAGTAAATGGAATATTTCAGATAAACATTAGTTTCTAGAACAGAAGAACAAAGCTGTATTCAGGTTATATTCCAAAGCTGTCCACTAAAGAGTTAGCTTACCTGCTTTTATTGAAACAAGGACAGGAACAAGGGAATTTCACTTTGGGCTTTTTTTTAAATTTAATTTTTACTGTTTAAAAAAAAGAGAGAAAAGAGAAAAACACAAAGATAGTTATAATGCAAATACTTACACAACTACATATAAAAATGTGCCTAATATGAAAAAATGTAGCAATTAACTTACAATTTTATATATACTTATTTAATGTAAGTTTTATGAAGCACACATAAATTTTTAATACATTTGTATAACATCATTTTCTAAGTTACTGTATTTTGTGCAAATGAGTTCCATATTTCATTATAACTGACCCTAGAAAGTCTATCAGCAATCCATTCATGGATGGCAAGTGCCCTCAGATCTTCAATCCATTGAATGAATGGGCCAAACTTGGGTTTAGTACATATAAAATTCTTTTGGCAAGTCAGAAGAAAACTGCCTGGCCAGTTATGAATCAGGCAGAGAAAACTTGTGCCAATTCAAAGGTTGCTGAGTAACAACTCCCAGCATTCTTTACCATTGGCCAACCTGACTGGGTGTAGTGAAAATTGCAATCACAAATATCCAGAGGACCACAATCTTCCTCTTATGTTCTAAAATAATATTTTTCTATATTCACTCCACTTTCCTACATTTCTTTCTTTTTTATAGTAATTGGAAAGCCAGACAGCAATGTCTGCATCTAATTTGTTGCTACTTTGGAAGACAATAGAGCACTGAAGAACAGATTAAGTTAGGAAGATAAGCGAAGAGATAAGGTCTAAGAGAGATGCCTGGTGTATTTAAAGAAAAAGGGGGAAGAAGGGGGGGGGGTTGGGGTGGGATAGAAGAGAGAGAGGAAACAATGCTATTGGGATAACCTACAATTACTTACAAAAAGAAAATAATTGTTTCAATCTGAATAATTCAATTCAGTCTTGCAAGGCCAAGATTTTTTTCACGACAGAATTTGATAGAGCCCAAAACTAACTTGCGCATCCTCCATAAACCCAGTAGTTCTCCAGAAACAGATTCAGTCTCAACATCTTAATGCTTTCATTTCTAGAGACCAAGAAGAATGCAACCACTTGTTCTAGCTTGACAGATACAAGGGAAGTTTGTTAAGGAGACATTTTCCAATGCAAACAAGTGTCAACATGTATTCCATACATTTTTTTGCATCTGATTCAAAAGATTGCAGGAGTGCACACAAATCCTAATCCTCATTTATTCAGCCATACAAACAAGAAAGCAAAACATAAAGTTGGCTAAATTAAGCTTAACAGAATTTGCTTTAACTTGAATTCTGGCATTTAAGGGGATAAGGAATGGGGTGGAAAAGGTAACAGACCCAATAATTCATGACTTTATGACTCTAAAAAAAAGTAAAGGGAAAACCATAAGCATCCCATTGAGAAAAATTGAAAAAAACTATGCATGCCCATGTTTATCTTAAGTCGTCCTATACTTGGCTTCATTGCATGATCCCTATCAGCCTTGCCTTGGGATTCTCAGCACAAAGTTCCAGAAAATTACTGTTAAATCATAATCTCGATTAGCAGTGCCCTTGCTTACTTTCTGACATATTCGGGTTTTGTTTTCAATCCTTGAATGTACAAAATACATGCATTGTTGGTGCTAAACCTCATTCTTTCTACTGAAATTCAATGGCAACCACATATAGTTTTAAGATGTTCATCCATAAGAGTAGTGAGAAAAGCATACCACAAGTGTGCTGCAGCAGGTAAAAATTGCTTCCTTCTGGTTAATATCCTACATGGTGGAAGTAGCAGCATTTGGAATCCGTTTCCCTGTGAGCCTGAAAGATACAATATAATAAACCCCAATGCTATTAGATCTCATGGGAGATTTAATACTGATGTGTTTTCTTACCATTTGAGCTGGAAAAAAAAAACACATTTAACTATAGTTACGTGTGTCTGAAGAACATAGAGATAGAGCTCAACTCAGGAGGGTTTTGGGATGGGGCAGGGATTTGGATTAGGCAAAATGGCTTGCATGAGCCTTCTCCCCTTATTACTGCTGTCATCACTACCCATTCACTTGTCCTTCTTCACTGTTCCAGATGGGGAAAATGAGCAGGAGTTGTTATTCTTTGCTCCTACCAGTATTTCCTTCTTTAAAATAAATAAAGAGGAATAACAAAGGGGTCCCAAATTTAGTAGTAGCGCTATTGAGCATTAAAGTGATTCCAAGCCCTCATATTAGGATTATACAGAAGCCATTTTCAGTCCTCACTATCTAGGTACGTATAGATCTGGATTGGCCATTAAATAGTGCCTTTTGACATTATTTAGAAACATAGGTCATTAGGTATTATTGAAAAGTTGAAAATATTTTTAAAGAGATTGTACAAGTTGCCTGGGAAACCTGATTGACCGAAGTAGGGGTAGGCTGGTAGAAGCCCTTCCTAGGTTTTGAACACCCTGTAGGAAGTTAGCACCCACCCCTCTCCTAGAAGGTTGAATTTTTCTACGAAATATTAAAAAGGCAGGATATTATACCTCCCTGGATGAGAAAAGGAGAAACATGTTCTTGGAAAGCAGCCCCCACCCCAGAAAGACTGGTGCCAACTTATTTACAAGACAAAAGAATGAGCCAGTCTATCTACAAAACAAAAGACCTTCACCCTCAGGACAAGATAGGATTAGCCCTCACTCAAGATCCAAACCAGGACAAAACCATTAAGCCATAATAGGAATTGTCCAAAGCCTCTTCATTACATTACCCAGCAAGATTCAACCAAGCCTGGAACTCAAGACAACCTACAAAGGTAGCCCTGCATGGCCCCATGGAAGTCTAACAACCAATCAGAATACATTTCTTACACAGGAACAGGAAGCTCCAAGGCAGGTCCCAAGAGAGGGTATAAATCTCTCTCTCTCTTACCCATGTGCTCAATTGCCTAGGACCTCAAACCATGTGGTCCTGTCCACCATTAAACCATCTTTCCAAACAGTCTCCATATTTCCAGTGTCTTCCTTCCCACTTGGAACTGAACCCGGGTGGACATTTCTTCCAACACCCCATAGCCAGTCCAATCAATGCCAAGAAACCTTGTAATTTTTTTTACATATAGGGAGGGCATCCAGTTACATACTCTTGAATTAGAAAGAATTTTTATATTCTTGTTTTTCAGACTTGACACATAAACTTCAACTCCTAGAATTCTGGGAGTTGAAGTTCACACATCTTAAAAGTTGTTGAGGTTGAGAAACACTACATTGTATGTTCCCCAGTGTGGTGTTCTCCATTATCCAAGTCAGTATAGCTATGCAGAACAGGACTTCTGGCGTTAAGTTTCTCAAGAGCCTCAATTCTTTAGAATTCCCCAGATCAGAAAATGGTATTCTGGATTTAAATAGACAAAACATAAAATACTTTAAAGCCAGTAAATAGCTTCTAAGGTTAACTAAGAGGGACTTTTATTCTTCCTGTACCCTCAGTTAAGTGCAAATTAGGTTGTTCTGCCCTTCAATTGACTTGCAAAATACTTCATTATGCCAGCTAATCTCCCAGTTGGACTATTAAGTAGGACAAACTGACCAATTTTATTTTCAAGTGTTCTCTGCCAATAAAGACAATGCTGACAGAAATGATATTATGGGGAACATGAGCTCCCCAAAATAAAGAATGAGGGAGATACATGAAGATTTAATCCCCAAGCTGCAGATAAGAACTTAAACCAGCCTTCTCACAACCATTTCCCTTCTGATGTGCTGGACTTCCAGTTCTCCTAATTACCAGCCAGCAGCCTGTTGGCCTTCCTGCCTGGGAATTAGAGAAGTTGAAATCCACATGTAAAGTACCAGTTTGAAAAGGCAGCTTAAAGCTTGGGCTGTCAGTGCCAATCTGCCTGTAGACTGTTTTCTTTGCACCTGCAAATCTCCTTGCCTCAGCCAATATTATTTTTTATGTTATTTTAATTAAACTATATAAATTGGATGCAAAGCAGTGCACCAGCCTAAAACATAATTTGTTTCCAACCATGCATTGCAGTCCCACATAGATCTCAGAAAATTGTTTATAAAATATAAAAAAGAGAGAGAGAGATGGGGGGGAAGCCCAGCACTGCACGGCTCTTTGCTTGAATGAGAGTATCCAAAAGAAATAAGCAAACAGGGTAGGCTAAAGTAATAGAGAGAAACTTGAGAGAGAAGAATGGCTGATGGAAAGCAGCCTTCTGAAAAACAGGTATTTTCTGTTTAGCCAAATGCGAATCACAACAACCTTTCTGAGTATGTCTCTGACATGCACTCAAAAGCTTCAAGTACTTCCACTGGCCTAAAAATGTGGGCTTGGCTTAAAGAAGGAGTTCTTACTTGAGGTCTACCAACTCTTTTACGGAATCTGGATAAGGGGGGGGGGAATTACACAAGTTTATTTTCTGTACCCTCTTCCTGAAATTTACCTTTTCATTCAAACGTTTTAAGTAGGCAACAAAATAATGTATGGACTTGAGACTCCAAAAACATCTAACGGGCGAACCGGTAGTGGCGGTGGCGGGAGGCTTCACCCACCCGCCTGGACATTATCATGGATGCTCTGCGATTGCGCAGAAGCGCGATGAGAGCTCCCGATTCTGAACCGGTAGCGAAGGTAAGTGAAACCCACTACTGTCTTACAATATACTGTCTTGTAATTGATTTAGTTGAATATTATTATATTTAGTTTTTTGCAAAAATGGGGCGCGCAGAAGGTTTGGGTGGCCTGCAGAGTACTCCTGGGGGCCCTAGAGGGCAAAAACGTGATGCATGGTGGGTTGGGAAGCCAAAAACAGGCCTGTTTTCACGCATAGCGTTTTTGCCCTCCCCAGCCCCCAGGAGCATTCTGCAGGCCACCCAAACCCTCTGCACGCCCTGTTTTTGGCCTCCCAAACCCTCTGCATCAGGGGTGAAATCTAAAATTTTTTGCTACCGGTTCTGTGGGCATGGCTTAATTAGTGGGCGTGGCTTGGTGGTAAGGTGACTGGGAGGGCGTGGCTTGTTGGTCAGGTGGGCATGGCCAAGTCAATGTCACTTCTTTGCCCTTTTTTAACCTACACAACAGAACACAACACAACTGGCTCACCCACAATATAAAAGCAGCTGTGCTAGATCCAAAATGGTCCCTGCAACAAGCAGGAACTCACACAGCCACAAAAAGTCCAAAAAACCAACTTTCACACTTTACACACACAAAATTCCACATACAGCTTTGTGAGATTTTGTGTGTTTGTGTAGTTGGAATGAAACACTACAGAAATACACAAAATCTCAGAAAGCTGCACAAATATTATTTTATTTCATTTTATTTTTATATAAAAGCAGCTAAATTAAAAATTTCCTAAACTTTAAATGGCTAGCTCTAAAAAAAGAACAACTAAAAAAAACCCCAATTAACTATTTTTTTTAAAACTCCCAAAGGAGAAAAAAACTTACCCAATAGAATAGGGGTCTCCAACCTTGGCAACTTTAAGACTTGTAGACTTCAACTCCCAGAATTCCTCAGCCAGCTTTATTTTGCTGGCTGAGGAATTCTGGGAGTTGAAGTCCACAACTCTCTGCCTGCTTGATTGCAGGCAGGAAGATTCAGTTGCTTGCTGATGCAATGGATTGCAGGGATCACAGCAAGGCGTTGCGACCAGCAGCTAAGGTAAGCAAACTGAGGGGGAAAGGGGGAGGGATTTTTGCTACCAATTAGCAGGCAACAGCTGAGATCGTCAGAGCTGGGCTCTCAGAGCCATTTAAAAGAAAAAAAGGCTCTGATAATCGTGGGGCTCAGCTGGGCATGGGGGGCGGGGGCAGGGATTTTTGCTACCAGTTCTCCGAACTGCCCGCCGCCATTGCTACCTACTCACCCGAGCTGGTCCGAACTGGGAGCATTTCACCCCTGCTCTGCATGCCCCATTTTTGTGAAAAACGGGCCCGTTTTGGCAAAAACGGGACACACAGAGGGTTTGGGAGGCCTGCAGTGTGCTCCGGGGGCTGAGGAGGGCAAAATGCGATGTGTGGGGGAGGGTGGGTGGGAGACTAAAAATGGGCCCATTTTTCACAAAAACAGGGTGCGCAGAGGGTTTGGGAGGCCTGCAGAGTGCTCTGCAGGGCTGGGAAGGGCAAAAATGCAATGCGTGGGGGGTTTGGGAGGCCAAAACCAGGCCCGTTTTTCGTGAAAACTGGCCCATTTTTGCAAATACGGAGCACGCAGAGGGTTTGGATGGCCTGCAGAGTGCTTCTGGGGGCTGGGGAGGACAAAAACGTGACTCATGAAAAACGGGTCCGTTTTTGCCTTCCCCAGCCCCAGGAGCACTCTGCAGGCCTCCCAAACCTTCTGTGCATCCCATTTTTGCAAAAAAAACGGGCCTGTTTTTGGCAAAAATAGGACCTGCGGGGCGGGCTTTTGGGAGGCTAAAAATGGCTGTATTCAGTGTATTAGACACACAAACATTTCCACCCTCTTTTAGGAGGGGAAAAAGTGTGTCTTATACTCCGAAAAATACGGTACTTCCAGTATGACCACAATATTTCACCTTTACAATTACACTACTTCTATTGGATCTCTGAATACCTACTTCAATATCAATTCATTTCCAAAGCTGAAGAAAAAAAGAAGCATATAGCCAAACACAGGTTTCCTTTAATTACTGAAAAAAACAACAAATGCCCCCCAACTTCCTATTAGAGGTAAAAAATGCAAATCAAAATTCACACAAGGAATGGAATTCAGCATTCCTTTTAAGCCCTCCCTAGCTTCAGCTTCCATTTACCTTTATTGCCTGGATTTGTTCAGTAAGATGTATTAAGCTGAAATAGAACAGGAAAGATATGGCACAAGATATTGTAGAAATTCAACTCCTGTTGCAATATGTTATGCAAACTGTGCCATCTCCCTATACCTCTATATGGTTCACCTGGCTGGAAACAACAGTATGCAATGTGAATATAACTATAGTTTGTTGACTTACAACTATTCATTTAGTCACAGTTTGAAGTTATAACAGCATTGAAAAAGGAACTTATGACCATATTTCACACTTATGACTGTTGCGGCATGCCCACATGATAAAAATTAAGACATGTGTCAACTGTCATAAAATTTGACATTTGCAATGTGTATGAGTCATGTGATCACCTTTTGTGACCTTCTGACAAACGAAGTCAATGGGGAAGCCAGATTCACTTAACCACCATGTTATTAATGTAACAACTACAATGATTCACTTCACAATTGTGGCAAGAAAGTTCAAAAAATGGTGCAAAGTTCACTTAACAACTTGTCTTGCTTAGCAATGGAAATTATGGGCTCAATTGTGGTGATAAGTCAAGGACACTTTGTAGTTTAGGATTTTGGTTGTAAGAACCCAGTTACTAAATATATCCCATTGAGAGCATAAACCAGCCCTTTCCAGGTTGTTATTTTTCCATTTCTTGGCCTACAATGATCCAACCAGCAATTAGGGGAAAACATGCCCTTTGTTCAAATGTGAGTTTTAGTAGATGCTCACTGACTTCCCTCAGGACAATATTAGCCAAGATGTTAACACATCCTGGCAGTTAAATGAAGGGGAAGGAATTCACACTGCACTGCTAATCCCTTTAACAACCCGGTTTAGAGTTCTTTTTATTCACTTTGGGCATTGTGTGCCCTACCCCACAATGCTTGATAAAAAGAGAACCCAAGGATCCCTGCTGATTTCTCCCACCAAAAGTTAGGCATTTACCCATCAATCTTCCAACTTCCAGGAATATAAACTGTCTGTTTTTGAGACAAATGTCCCCTTTCAATTGCCTGTTAGTAGCAGCTTCTCAGAATCTGAGAACAATCAGCTGTTGCCTTTTCTGAACACCAAAATAAACAGGTTGGATTTCTGGAAAATTTTCTGCCCTTTCCAGCAGGACCCGGGGAGTCCCTTCTTGCCTATGTGCAGTTATTTCCATCCTGGCCTTTTCCTCCTCCAATCTGTCACCAACAGGTGGAAACCCCCCCCCCCGTGAGTGGGATTAGCTTCAAGAGGAGGGCAGGGGGAAAGCTTTCGTAGGGCCATCTGCCTGCCAGGAAAAAGAAGGGAAGCCCACGCAATGCCCACCGCCTTTTTGCGGAAAAGCCACCGTCAGGGCCCTCTGAGTAACCCCACCCACTCGTCCTGGCGAACTTTAGTCCCCAGTAGGAAAAAGGGCTGCTTAGTAGCAAATAGTGGGACAACTTTTCCCCTTCAGGCATACTGGGCTGCAGCCGACACGACCTGTTTGAAGAAAGCTGTGTCCAAGTGTGAAACTAGGTTTCTGCCACTCAATGATACTTCTTTGCGCTTGCCGGCTTAAGATAGCCACCCCCATAACCATCACCTCTCCAACACACCCTTCCCTATAGCCCATCTGTCCTATGTGCTAAACTGTCGACATACATGCTCTGGATTCTCTCCAAAAGGCACCACCTGCACTGACAACCACTTTTATATTCGCTCTGCTGCTGCCGCCTCGTTTCGTCGGGAACAGCCTTTCTTTACTCACGTTCTCCACACTTTTTTTTCCTCCCTCGCTATTTCTGCATTTTCTTAAAAACAAATAATGGGAATTACTGTGCTAATTCTTGTGTTTCAGATCCTGGAACCTGCAACCAGGTTTCCTCTTACTTTTTGCAACCTTCCCGCTTTTCTTACCAAAGCTTCTGAATTAGATGCGTCCCCTTTAAGACAACCCAAGCTCCACTGCTGGCTTCCTCTCGTAGTTTTTTTAAAATCATCTTTCCAATGACCTAGCTTCCGTTTAAAGATAAAAGCCGCAGGGGCTGTTGGGAAACGTAGTTCTGATTCTGAGCCAAAGGTAGTAACTTGTACGAATAAACTTTCATCTCTGTGTTTTGGTTTTCTTGAATCTTATTAATCCACGTTCAGGATTTTGCTTAGTTACTAAATATACCTGCTTGAGAGCATAAACCAGTGTTTTCCATTTTGCTGTTTTCCCATTTCTTGGCCTACAGAATTAAATCCTGTTTATCTTCCACTTTCCCTGCTAGTCGATATTAAAATCATACTTGTAGCGCTCGATACAAATAGAAAATCTACCATCCCAATTTTGTTAGGATTGAAGAAATTGGATTTGGAATATAAACATCTACAGGAATGTATGCTCTTATTAAACAGCAAACCTATATCCTTACAGTAATTGAAAGTAAATGCTGTGGAAAATAGTCAAGATTTCTGAGTAAATGTCAATCAAAGGAAGCAAGGAATAAACTTGCTTCCCCGTGTATTAGAGAAGGAAATGTACTAAAACGAATAACAGAGCAAATGGCCATTTAAATCAGGCTTCTTAATAAACACTGCAACTGCCTGCGTACATTTTTATATTGTTTTCCTAGGCTATTGGGAAATGTTTTCATGGGAGAAGGGAGCTATATTTTATGTTAGAAGCATTTTTCTCAGCAACTCTCTTATTTAGAGAGGAGCTGAGCATTTTTATTCTGCCAACCCACTCAGTTGCCTGCATGGCATGTAATTCTTTCATGTAATTCCTAATCTTAAAAAAAGAAAGAAAGCTGGCACTTAAACATAGACTGAATTGAAATAAACTGATTTCTATATAATGCGTAAGAAAACATTTTACTTTAGAATGAACACGGGGGTATATTTATATAGGAGTCACTAGCAAAATATAGTGCATGTCGTGACTATGTATGAAGGAAAAAAGCATTATCTGTAAATGCTCATAGGAGTGATTTGGTGTGTTGGATCCTATTTCAAATAAAAGGCATATTATACAATCTGTTTTAGAAATGTAACTGGAATGGGCTGAATTCTGCATCCTAGTCCCCAAATCTCACAATCAAAAACATTCTATTATAAAGTCACTTTAATTGATAATTTAATTTTTGAGTATTTTCAATTTATTCCAAACTTCTTGTATATTCTAATACCAAAAAGAGCAATACTGAGAAGTATTCAAACTACTCAAAATACTAATAAAATGACACTAAAAATTATAGGATGATACTCAAGAGTCAACAATTTATTGAAGGAGAAATTTGAGGTCATAAGAATGATAATCAGAAAGCAACTGTTTGAGCTACATGACATTTTGATTATGAATTGAAAGGAAATACAACAAAATCTAATTTATCTGTACTACTGTACCATGTAGTAGATAAAATAGTTTGAAATATGTAAGTAAAACTAATCGTATTCCTTTGATCTATTCCTCCAAACCAGTTTACTTAAAGCCATCCCTACTCCATATCCTACACTTGATTAGAAAATCCTTGCAGTATTGCAAATGTCTCCAAATTCAGCTGTATCCAGACACTTTTTATTCTTGTCCTTTTCCCTGATAAGAAACATTCTGACTCTTCATGATTTGTAAATTAACTTAACCTTCCATTGTCTAGAATTTACTGTATCCCTCTGTTTCTCCAAGCCACAGTGTCAGGGAAATACTTGTAAGAGCTGACCAGCTGCTACAATGATATAAGGCAGGGAATGAGTCAGCAAGGTTTTTTGGCTGATACGACTTTAAGAGTAGGGATGGGATTCTACCGGTTAAGACTGGTTTGGGCGAACTGGTAGCTCCAACGATCAGCTGAACCAGCCCGCCGGCCCCTGCGCTTTACTTACCTTTATCTATGCAGCTGATTAGTTGCCACACCTCAGCTAATTCCCTAGCACTAACGTGGAAGGTGATTTTTTTGTTGAACTGCGCGCACATGTGGAGTATGTGATCACTGAATTAGTTGTTAAACCAGAAGGATCCCACTACTGTTTAAGAGGCTGTATATATAAGAGAGGCCCTGTGAGGGCGTCTCTCTCCTGTGTGCTTCCGTGCTGTAGTTGATGATTTATTGCCTGACTTTGCCTGGTATGTGTATGTATATATTCCTTGTAGATAAACCGTCTTTTGAAAGACAAACCCCTGTTTACTGTATTTTGCTCCTGGGTTGTCTCAAAATAGTCACACTGTACGCACTCTGACACACAGGGCTAATGAAAATGGTTGTGACTGTTAGAGAATATTATGTCTTCAAAATGAGTCAGGATTTGGGACTAAGAACTTAGTAACTATTTAAAATGAGTCAAGTTTTGTGTTTATATCTTTCAATTATCCATGTAGGAGAACCCATGTCAAGAATTAAGATTCAGACTGAACCTTACTATGTTCCATTTGCCTCCTTGAGTTACCAACTATCCTTCCTCTGCACTTTCCTCTTTAGACATTAGCAAATTTCTGCAGATTGGTAATAAAATTTAGATTGCATCCTATAAAGCCTTGTACTTAATTTGGCTTTCTCATGATGGGATATTTTGATGAGCCAGGAGAAATAATTAGGGATTGGGCCCTAAAGTTATGCCCAGTTTCTTCCTGTTTTAACTGTTTATTTTATTTTCCCATTGCTTTATAGAATTGTTTGGAAGGCAGGAAAATTGCTGTCATAATTGCCTCAATTTATCACTTTTACATTGAGAGCTGTTGGTATTTAAAAATGGGGGGGGAGGGGGGAGAGATATGTCATACCTGGACAAGTATCTTTACTATCCAGATCAGTTCTTTGCTCATTTATTCTATATTGATTTTTCTGAAGCTGGAATAATTCTTTATATAGTTACTGCAGTTGTTTAAAGGTAGATAGACCTATGCCAATCTCTGCGTAATGAGAAATTTATGTAATTTTAAGGACTCCTTCTCTTAACACTTATCACAAGAATTATAAATTTTACACTTTTCTATATAAATTTTCAATAATGTGCTCTTTTCATGTCAATAGAAACACTCTCAAGCTTGCCAAAAATTACTGTCAGGTTCATGTGACTCATGATGTTTTTCCATAGAACTCTTGCAGAATGATATTTTTTTGCCCGCAGTAGGCAAGATAGCCTTAACTACTATGATATTCCTTACATTTACAGGCCTTTTGCTTTTATTTGCAGACCAGGCTTTGAAAAATATTTGTGTATGCACTTGGAGGTGCATCGTGCTATGAAAGTACGCTAGTTTTGTAATTTTGTTGTTTTGCAGTGAGATGTACTTCATCAAAACAATTCACCTGATCTTCTTGAACTCCTGATCCCCAATGAGAATAGGTAGGTGTGACTTGCTAAAGTAAGAGATTTTCCATTACAATATCAGATCTCAATGATGAAGTTATTATGGTATACTAAGAAGTTTTCTCATAATTATCTCAATTGGCCTTTGATTTCACTTTTATTTCGTGTAAGGATATAACTGAAAATCCTCCACATCAAATACTGTCATCAGCAGCACCTTTTCTATTTGACCATATTTTTGTTCTGTTTTTAACAGGATTCTGCATTTTCAGTTGCTTGCTCTTCTACATATTGTACAGATCTGCCCTGTTGGACTCTGTTGGGCAAACCCTATTTTTGCATGGCCTTGTCCTGTTACCTTGAGGAAGTTTCATTGTTTAAGTTTAAAGGAAATTGACATTTTTCTTGGACAAGTTTATTCTTGGACAGGGTTATTCTTGTACAAAGTTATTCTTGGAGCTATTACTATGAACCCACACATATTTTCCCATCCCTCCTAGATGTTAAGTTTGCCCAAGAGACAATGAAGAGCAGTTTGGTCTAGTGATCCAAACAAATGGCTATCCAGTCTCTTCTTGAAAACCTCCAGTGATGTAGCATCCAAAATTCTGGAGGTAAGCTGTTCCACTGATTAATGTTTACATGCCACCTAGAATCACCATGAGGTGCAATGGTGACAAATAAGTCAGCCAACCAACCAACCAATCAGTAAATCAGTAAAATTGTTCCCACTGTCAGGAAATTTCTGTTTAATTCTAAGTAGGATCTCTCTTAATGATTTTGTTCTGCCCCCGGCTGCTTTGGAGAATAGGTTGATCCCCACTTCTCTGTGAAAACTGTTATCATGTCACCCTTAGTCTTTCTCTTTGTTGGACTACATATACCTATTCCCTCGTTCATCATATGGTTTAGCTTCCAGACCTTTTTCATCTTTGTTGCTTTTCTCTCACTTTTTCTAGAGTCCCAACACATTTTTTGTATCATGGTGATCAGCATGGGATGCAGCATTCCAAGCTTGGTCTGACCAGTGTAGTATAAAATGGTATTATCACCTGACATGATCCTGAAACTACCACTTTGTTGATGCAGCCTAGGACTGCATTAGCCTTTTTGGCAGTTGCAGTACGCTTCTGGCTCATACTTAAGTGGTGGTTACTAGGACACCTAGATCCCTCTCACAGTTCCTACTGTTAATCCAGGTACCAGCTCTTCTATATTTGTGTATATTCCCCCCAGCCCCAGCTTAGTGAACTTCTAATTTGTCTGATTTTTTTTTTTTATTATTATGAGAATATTGCATATCTGATGTTAGATTCTTCTGCAATAATGATACCCCTTATTTGGAAGCTGACTACTTTCTTACAAACAGGCTCATCCAGTCCTAGAAAAAAAAAGTCCTCCATAAGCAAACTGGATTAACAAGTGGATATTTTTCCCCCAAAAAACCTTTCACCCTTAAAACATCTAAATTGGGAGGATTGTAAAATTCTAATTATATCCATTGCTAAAATGGTTGTTGCCTAAAAGAAGATTGAGTATTTGAATATTACAACTTAATTTAACAATTCCACGTTTTGTTACACAGCTGTATTTTATACTTATACTTATTCAGC